ACAGGGAAGGAGGAGACTCCTATCTGCAGGGAATGTTTTCTTTCTTAACAGGTGAAGAGGGGGCAGATGTGCATCTGTTTCTTCCCCCTACCCCTCTCTTCACTAATCTGTCCCTATTAGCTTGTGAATTTGCTTCACCTGTTCTTCTTCTTCCTCCTCATCTTCCTCGCGGTTCCTTTTCAAGGAAGCGGTCCTTGGGGGAGGCACTTCCTCCACCTCCATGGCAACGTTTTGTTTTTCCGGACTTGTTGCCGGATTTTTTTGCTGTTGTTTTTGTTGCTGTTTTTGTCGCTGTTGTTTCTGTTGTTGTTGTTGCTGCTGTTGCTGCTGCTGCTGTTTTGTTTCTCTTGCCCCTTTGAAGGCTGTACTTCCTTTGCCTCTTTTCAGGCTGTTCCTTAGGGGACGATTCTTGCGGAGCTGGAACGGTAGTATTTTCCGACCCCCTATCCACCTCTTTCCAGCCTTCTTTGGGACGTTTTTCTTGTGTTGGTTTCGCCTCCTCCTGCTGCTGTTGTTGCTGAAGGAGGGGCGTTGGTTTCACATTTTTGCCAGGGCACTCCTTGGACATATGCCCTGACGCACCACACGTCCAACAGCACGGCTTCCTCCCCTCCACCACGACTAACATCCTCCTCTTCCGGCATACCAGGGTGTTTGGGATTTCCCGAAAGTTCTCTCTGTTGACTGTTATTTGGACCTCTATGTCTCCAGTTAAAATTCCATTTTTTTTACTGACGAGGGCCTTTACTTCGTTCACTTCGCCATATTGTACGAAAAAGGCCCCATTCTATCTTCGTCAATATCTGCTGGGACGCCGTGAATCGTCACCTTGGTCCTGCGGGTTCCCATGTATTCTGTCTGCATTCGTAGGTTCTTTGTTGTGAGCAGACTTCCAGCCAATGCCTTTGCCTGCTCCTCTGTAGCTAGGAGGATATCCCACAGGGCATTCGTCCTTCGTGCCAACATTTTGGGATAAATCTTTAGAGACTTCAACCCCTCCTCCATTACTTCTCTGCCGACACCGGTCAACTTACGGGTCTTAACATCCGAAGTTAGAAGTGAGATTGTTCTAGTGTCGACAGCATCCAAGGCTTCTTGAATCGTGAGGAATTCATTGCCTTTAAAAGATTCTTCATATTTTTCCTTTGCTCGCCGTAAAAAGGCAGCATCTTTTTATGGCAGCCTGTTTTTTACCCAGGCCGTTTTGCGGGTGACACCGTTTGTGAAGGCGGTGTATTGTTTTCGTCATTATTATTGTCAGCCATGATGGGTTTTCGGGCCCACCACGCCGAACAATTATGTTTTGTCACTTCTCTTTTTTTGTTTAAAAACAGAAATCAAACAAAAATATTCAACAGATAATATTCAAACAGAAATCAAAGAAAGAAGAACCAGACCGAAAATCCGGGGTAAACAAAACAAACAAACAAATAAAACAAACGAAATAAAATGAATCAAATGAAAGAAGGGGAGGGTAAAGAAAAAACTTAAAATACACAAACGCAAAATCAGGCTGAAAATAAGTGTTCAAGAGGGTTCAAAATAAATCAAAGGTAACTATAAACTGACTTCGTTCAGCAACAGTTCACTGGACCACACGCACTAGAAAACACAAAGATACACACGAGTGAATATTTATCTACTAGTGAGCTAGCGCAAATGACGACTCACTTTATAGTCCACCAATAGAAGGTTAACCAATCAGAAGTCGTAGAACATTCAATCCGTCGTGTATAAAGGCGGCCATTTTGTTCACTCTACTCGAATGTCCGGTCCAGCTTGTCAGGCGAAGAGAAACAGAAGGAAGAACTACGCTCTGCTACTTTTACCAAAATATCCACTGCTAACCTGAACAACGCTTCCCTACTGTCTTCGAAATATTCACTGCTAACCTCTGGATTCTATACTCGAAGACGACCGTCATCATGAACAACATCGGTCACCTCAAATATTATCAGTATCTGTATTTCTGGATTCAAATAATTTAAATTATTTACATTCGGACTAATGTGGTAGAGTGATCAACTTTGGGTCGGGTATGTATATTGTTTCGTGGCTAGAATGATCGAAGCATTTATATTTATAAATAAACGACAAATTCTGTCTGTTTGTCCGTGTGTCTGTAATCCCTCCACCTCGGGCTACACTTGCTCAACATGGGCATATTATACCTTTTTAGAATTAGAATGATCCCAGGAATGAAAATCTGACCTCCGTCTGGGGCTTGAATATATAGTATTGGGACTGGTGTCCGGATGAGGAAGAAACAGTTAAAAATTCAAATTTTAAAATAAATGAAAAAAAATGATTATAAAAGTTTTTCATTTATATTGAATTTAAAGTAACACAAAATCTTTGAGAATTTAAATTTTTTGTTTTAAATTCAGTTTAACATATCTCCAAAATTTTGTGAATTGAAGAAATTAATTTTATTTCTTCAAAATGCCAAGAAACCAAAGTTAAAATGAGAGGTTTCGTGACATGAGGTGTTGAAGTTCCGCAAAGTTTATGATTTGAACACAATTGAAGATCCACAGATTTGGTGAATTGAAGAACTCAATATTCAGCCTGAATTGGAACTTCTGCCTAAATCAGTCTTTTGGTCTTTTGTTGGAATTGGACTTTTAACCGGAATCAGAGTTAAAGTGAGGTCTTGAAGTTCCATGGAGTGAATTGAGGTATTCAAAGTTTTTTTCATAAAAAATAATCATTACTCTTTCCTAATCTAGTCTAGAGGTCCCTTTAGCTTTGGGCGGAGAGCCCAATTAGCACTCCGTAGAAGCGAGATCTAGTCTAGAGGTCCCTTTAGTTTTGGGGGGGGGAAATAATTAACCCTCCATAGAAGCGAGCTTAATAGTCCTCTTGGAGTGAGGATTAAACTAATATTAAAACTAGTATTAAATAAATTAAATTCAGTAATTATAATGGAAAAAAAAACCAAAATAGTTAATTAGAATGTATAAAAATCAATGATGAAGGATTTAAATATCTGTCTATATTCCTGAGATGAGGTATTATGTACACTATTTACATTATTCGGACTATTGTTCTCATCTTTGTCGCCATATTTATTACAACGTTTCGGCCATTCAGTATCTGTCTATATTTCTGAGATGAGGTATTATGTACACTATTTACATTATTCGGACTATTGTTCTCATCTTTGTCGCCATATTTATTACAACGTTTCGGCCTTTCAGTATCTGTCTATATTTCTGAGATGAGGTATTATGTACACTATTTACATTATTCGGACTATTGTTCTCATCTTTGTCGCCATATTTATTACAACGTTTCGGCCTTTCAGTATCTGTCTATATTTCTGAGATGAGGTATTATGTACACTATTTACATTATTCGGACTATTTTTCTCATCTTTGTCGCCATATTTATTACAACGTTTCGGCCCTTCAGTATCTGTCTATATTTCTGAGATGAGGTATTATGTACATTATTTACATTATTCGGACTATTTTTCTCATCTTTGTCGCCATATTTATTACAACGTTTCGGCCTTTCAGTATCTGTCTATATTTCTGAGATGAGGGTACACTATTTATTATTCGGTATTGTTCTCATCTTTTGTCGCCTATTTACATTATTCGGACTATTTACATTGACTATTGTTCTCATCTTTGTCGCCATATTTATTACAACGTTTCGGCCTTTCAGTATCTGTCTATATTTTGAGATGAGGTATTATGTACACTATTTACATTATTCGGATTGTCCTCATCTTTGTCGCCATATTTATTACAATGTTTCGGCCAGTGTCTGTCTATATTTTGAGATGAGGTATTATGTACACTATTTACATTATTCGGACTATTGTCCTCATCTTTTCGCCATATTTATTACAATGTTTCGGCCTTCAGTATCTGTCTATATTTCTGAGATGAGGTATTATGTACATTATTTACATTATTCGGACTATTGTCCTCATCTTTGTCGCCATATTTATTACAATGTTTCGGCCTTTCAGTATCTGTCTATATTTCTGAGATGAGGTATTATGTACACTATTTCCATTAAATATATAAGAAATATAAAGGGGAGACAGGTCGCCTCTTAAGTTAAGGCTTCGAGAACACCAGAAATTTGCCTCGTTAGTCATGTATCGAAAGGTACATGATCGCCTAAGCGTGTATCACGCGAGGCACAAAACTAACTGACTTCCCGTGTTTCAAATGTTAGCGGTATGCACTTAATTTAAATCTGATTCATATATACTTGAATTTACGCAATTTTTTGTTGTTACAGAAAATTTTTAGTTACTAAGCGCTTTTTATAAAAAAAAAAACTGTCCTGAAATCTCTGTGGCTTAAAAGATAAGCAACCTGCCTCTTAAGTCGGAAATTGCGTTTTGGTATCCCGTCGGATGTCTATACTTTACATATGTTGACGTTAAACAATCAAGTTAAATTTGAGTTTTATATATATTAATTTACACACACACATATATATATATATATATATATATATATATATATATATATATATATATTAATTTACATGATTGTGTGTTAATATAGAATGTCTTCATTTACGCAAGATCTTTTAATATGTTTGTTCTGATTGATGCCTCTGTAGCCCAATTTAGTCCTACAGACTAAATAAAGGGTTCCGTTCGAAATTCCAACGTATATCACCTGTAGAAGGCCGGAACATACAACGGTCAAAACGTCGTGAATAATGCAATAACGTTGAGAACACCAGTCCGGACAATGTAAATAGTGTAAATAGATCCAGAACGATTTTGTGGTCGAACCAACCCTCCCCAACTGTGAGCGAACGATTTATGATCACTTCCCGTCTGTCACGATGACAAATGATTATATAGTCATTAGTTAAGCTGTCTGCAAGAGAAGGATTTGAAGAGGACTTGTCTAAGTTTTAATTCGTCAGAAAGCAATCAAACTCACCGTAAATAAAAGAAAACAGTACAAACCCATTTATTTTTTATCCTGGCATATTTGTGTAGATATTGTACAGGACATACGATGGTTCGTCAAATATTGTTTTTCTCATCGGTTGCTAAATTTTTTTTTTTAATCTCATCCGATTGTGGGAATGTAACAACCCAGAAAACCTGTTTGCCTTTTCCTTACTATTTGGTAAACGAAGGGACATGAGGCTATCAGTAACATCAGAAATGGTCTCTGGTTAAATGCAGATGTTCTGACCCGTTCCGCCAGTTCCTGGCTTTCACAGCTAAGACTCGTCATATCATTTCCACAGCAGAGAAGTATCTTCATTGCCCCCTTATTCCATTATCAAGCGGGAAATTCTAGACACACATATCTATCTATCTATCTATCTATCTATCTATCTATCTATCTATCTATCTATCTCAGCCTGTTCATATCTATTTATCTATCTATCTATCTATCTATCTATCTATCTATCTATCTATCTATCTATCTCTATCTCAGCCTGTTCATATCTATCTATCTATCTATCTATCTATCTATCTATCTATCTATCTCATCCATCTATCTATCTATTATCTATCTACATATCTATCTATCTATCTATCTATCTATCTCAGCCTGTTCATATCTATCGATCTATCTATCTATCTATCTATCTATCTATCTCATTCTACACATATCTATCTATCTATCTATCTATCTATCTATCTATCTATCTATCTATCTCAGCCTGTTCATATCTATCTCAGCCTGTTCATATCTATCTATCTATCTATCTATCTATCTATCTATCTATCTATCTATCTCAGCCTATTCATACCTATCTCAGTCTGTTCATATCTATCTATCTATCTATCTATCTATCTATCTATCTATCTATCTATCTATCTATCTATCTCAGCCTATTCATACCTATCTCAGTCTGTTCATATCTATCTATCTATCTATCTATCTATCTATCTATCTATCTATCTATCTCAGCCTATTCATACCTATCTCAGTCTGTTCATATCTATCTATCTATCTATCTATCTATCTATCTATCTATCTATCTATCTATTAGTTTATATATATATATATATATATATTGTTTCTAAAAACTTTTGGACTGAACAGATGAATATAACAATATTCATTAAATAAATTATAACCAAGATGAACTTTTAAGGTGTTTTCTTGATTTATTATTATTATAAGGCTCTGTAACTTTCAATGAGCCCTCTTTGGATTAGTGTCCTCCTTGGAATTATCCCTACCAATTAAAACTTGGTATTATATATATATATATATATATACATATATATATATATGTGTGTGTGTGTACCGTAATTTCTCGAAAATAATACGCACCCATAAATAATACGCACTCCAACAAATGATCCAAAAATTAAGAAGTATATTTATCCCTATGTATAATATGCATCTATAAATTTTGTAAAAAAACAAAACAAAAACAAAACAAAAACAAAACAAAAAGTAATTACGAAGATATTTTGTCGACCTTGACATTAAGAATAAAATCGAAACTTAGCAGCTAAAATAATGTTGAAAATTACCAGCGGTTTTCCTGGTAAATATAACATTTTATTTTACCGTCAAAATGTCGTCAAAACGTGCGAGTGAATGATAATTTGTTTAATGACAATTTAGATATTGATTCTATAATAGAAAATGGTGATGATGGTGATGATGATGAAAATTAAAATTTCAATAAATTGTTAACTTGATATCCTCTTTTCTTCGAAACTGGCCTTTTTATAGATTTAAAAATTTTTTTGCCAAATAAAAAATGCGGTTACTGATAGACATACATTTATTGACAAAAAAATGTTACAATTATTAGGTTGTCCCAAAAGTTCGTAAACATTTGCGAAAAATTGAATTTTTATGCAATTTTTAATTGTTTTTTTTTTACTTTATCGAGAATTGGCTGATGAGCTTGGAGTTGGCAAATCGACAATTCACCGACACTTGAAGCAACTTGATTTTGTTCACAAAAAGCCGCGCCAAGATCCGCACGAACTCACCGAAGCACAAGCCAACAGACGAGTTGAAATTTGCCGTCAATTGCTCAGCAATCCGTTGGATGAGCGTTTTTGGAAGCGCATTGTGACATCGGACGAGAAATGGGTCTATCTGGTCCAGCACAATCGAGACAAGCGATGGGTTCAGAAAGGGCAAGAGACATCGTTGGTTCCAAAACAAGATCGATTCGGCAAGAAAGTCATGTTGTGCGTTTGGTGGAACTTTGACGGAATCGTGCATTTTGAGTTGGTTCCGAATGGTCGTGCCATCAGTGCCGAATTTTGCTGTCAGCAACTGGAGCGGGTCTACGAAAAGTTGAAGCAAAAGTACCCGGCTCTGATCAACCGAAAGCGCGCTTTGATGCAGCAGGACAATGCCAAGCCACACACTGCCAGGAAGACCAAAGACAAGTTTGAAGAGCTGGACGGTGTTGAGGTTCTGCAACATCCAGTCTACAGTCCTGACTGTGTTCCATCAGATTACGGCCTTTTCCGCTCAATGCAACACTTTCTGAAGGGCCGCCGATTCGACTCGTTTGATGAAGTCGAGGAAGCGTGTCAAGAATTCTTTGATTCGAAGCCGGCTGAATGGTACTTTCATCCGAAAGCTTGCAGATCGATGGCAGAAAGTCTTGGTCTTTATTTTGAGGAATAATTTTTGTTGTTTTTATTATTACTTGGCGAGTAAAATTTCAATTTTTTGCAAGTATTTACGAACTTTTGGGACAACATAATATTATTGTTGTACTTAAAATGAAAATTGTGATAATATCTTTATCTTAGAACAACAACTACGTATTTATTATTATAAATCAATAACGAAAAAATTATTTCTGTTTAAACCAATTTATAATACGCATCCCTACTATCACCTGCAATTTACAGTAAAAAAAAATGCGTATTATTTTCGAGAAATTACGGTATATATATATATATATATATATATATATATATTATAGTAATTCATCAAGTCTAGAAGAATCCTCTGTGTGTGTGTGTGTGTGTGTGAATTGTTCTTTATTGCTCTCACCGATATAATTTTGATCACTATATTTGCAGTATAAATGACAGTCGTCTGCAACAGGGATTAGCTAGTCATGCTAGTAGATAGGCATACTCGGATAAGAGCTGCCGGCCGTGTGTGTGTATGTCGGTGTGGGTGTGTGATGTATACATGAAAATCTGCGCATGCGTCGATACAATATAAGTAGACTTTGATTTTAACCGGAACCATTAACATTTCAGACATACTGAGTACTTCCTCTCTAGAACCTTGCTACAGAATCTCTCGCTTTTTTCCTTAACAAGCGACGATTTTTCTTCCTCAAATATACAAAATACGAACAATGCCGACATTTCTTCTTTTTCTTTTCCCCCACTTCTCTTTTCTTAATTTCTTTGCCTGATGCCGTCTTGATAAATTATTATCTTAAAGTGGAAATTTCCGATCCTTCTTGCTAATAAACAATGAATGATAACCTTTGCACGGAACCTGGGTGGAGTGAGTCAGATAAAAGATCAATTGTTTTATGCTTTTATACTAATAACCTCTTTATAATGTATAGTTTTTCCCGGCCTGTAAGATGGGACATTCTTTAAAATTATTCAAATCTTCGCAGAAATACTAGTCTATGCTGGATAAAACTTGGATCTCCGCTGTGTATAATTAAAAGAAAACAATTTCTTAGTACTGACAGTTAATAATGTTTCAGGCAGTACTAAGTTGACAACGAAATGAAATGAAAATTATTGAGTCATAAATAATTTCCGTTCTTGGAAACATATATTTAATGACAATTGTATCATTCTAACTAACCCTTCTTTAAATATATTATAACAGGTGATGAAGAATGAGTTACATACAACAATGTTCAACGATAAAAAGGCAAGGATAAATCTCCACAACCAACCCCAAAAGCTGAGCTCAGAGGAAGAATGTATTATTAAACTTTAAGCAGCCGCAACGTATACATTAACGTTTGGTCGAAAAGCACTCTGCGCTCGCCAATAGGAAAATGTCCCCGTGATAATGCAAGGCTGCATACAGTTGAATAAGATAGGGAAACTTTTGGAACTCGTTTGGTCTCTTCTACCCCACTGGCCATAATCACCTGACCTTGCCCCAATTTTTTTTCGGTCAATGCAAAATACTTTGATGTGGTAATTTTCCTAATGAAAACCAGATTCATGTGTACGTCGAGAATTTCATAACTAGTTATCGAATGTCAGGAAATTATACTAGGTGTGCACTGTAGGTAATTCTTATTTACTCAACTTTAAAGAAGGATTCTTTTCTTTTTCTTGATTGTTTTGAATTAACAAAAAGGTTAAATCTTTTGTTTCTGCTAACAAGTATAAAACCTTTTGTACAAATAACTTTGTTCAATTTCTTCTTATTAGGTTGAGTCATTTCCGTTTGTTTGTTTTTTGTAACAATTCGTTATGAATATATCATCCTAACTAACCGTTTTTTAAATATATCATAACAGGCGATGAAGAATGGGTTGCATACAACAATGTTCAGCACAAAAGATAGTGTATTGACAAGAATAAATCTCCGCAACAGATCCCAAAAGCTGAGCTCCGTGGCAGAAATGTAATTGTGAGTGAGGTGCGACCGTCGGGGTATTATTTATGTGTTGTTCTTAAAACAAAATGAAACACTAAATGCACATTTCTATGTACAGCAGGTGCAACTTGTCTATAAAGGTTTGATCGAAACGTGTCCTGTTCACGTCAATAAGAAAAGTGTTGTTCTACATCATAACAACGTAATATTGCATTCAGCAAGTCTAACACTGAAAGGTTTTTGAAACTTGCTTTGATTGTTCTAACTCCCACTCGCCATATTGACTTGACCTTTCACCAACCAATTTTTACCTTTTTTTCAATCGCTGCAAAACGTTTAGCAGGGGAAAACTTTCTCTAATAAAAATCTAAAAAACATTTTCACATTAAAACCTGCAGAATTTTACTCAAGGTATTGAACCGTTGCCTGATAAATAGTAAAAAAAAAGTCATTGCAAAAATGGTGAATATTAATTGAATGCAATTGTAATTGTAATTTATTTTTGAGGAATAAAGTTGATGAAAAGTTCTTCTAATAAAAAAAATTTTCATTCTTCACATGGATTTTCAGTGAAAGTGACATGGGTAATGTCAATAAAGTATAATAACAGAAAACAGCAAATAAAAAAACAAAACAAAAGAAGATGGCTTATATTTCTTGTAAGTTTCCAATGAAAAATATTCTAAAAAAAGTGGAAAATATGTTTGGAGGGAAATTTTTTGTGTGTTTGTTTTGAAGGACGTATATATGTTTCTTGTCCGGATATTATTAATAAAAGTAAAATTATCGCCTTACACTGAATGATTAAATCAGTACTTGTTTTTTATACAAAAAAATGTATAATAAAATTTATCTATAATAAAAGAGTTCAATTCCTTCTTTCTTCACAAGTTAGAATTTTCCCATTTGCCCAATAAATATGCAGACAATATTTTAGGACACAAAACGAAACGGTTTATTTGTTGAGTGCGCGATACTTTTTATCCATTTTTAAAGGAAAATGTTATCAAATATGTCATCAAATAGGGCTGAGATACGGTACAGTTACGATAAAACTACGGTATATATACGGCACAACTACGGTACAGGTACGGTAAAAATACGGTACATGTACAGAACAACTACGGTACAGATACTGTACAAATACAGTAATTTATTTTGAGGAATAAAGGTTGATAAAATTATTTACGAATACGGTTCAGATCCAAATACAAAATATGGCAACAAAATGGTATGATTACAAATACAGTACATATATGGATTACGGTACAAATACAGTACAGATATGGTACAATTGACAAATACAGTACATATATGGTACAATTAAAGTAAAGATACAATACAAATGCAGTACAGATATGGTAATTACGGTACAAAAATACATATAAAAACAAAACAAAAAATGCAGTACAGATATTATATTTACGGTTGTAAGTACATATTCCAATGATAAAATATTCTACAAAAAAATATGGAAAATATGTTTAAAGGGAAATTTGCAGTACAGATATGTTTGTACAAATACAGCACATATAGGTACAATTACGGTACAAATACGTACATATATATACGGTACAAATGTACATATATTACAATTGTCCAAATACAGGATATGGTACAATTAATAAATTACGGTAAAATTATCGCCTTACACTGAAATACAATTAAATCAGTACAGATATGGTACAATTACGGTACAAATACAGTACATATTTTTACAAATACAGCATATATAAAAATGTATAAATAAAATTTATCTATAATAAAAGAGTTCAGTACAGATCCAATTACGGTACAAATACAGTACATATATTTCAATTACGGTAAAGATAATACAAATGCAGATATTTTCAAATACCATTTGCCGGTAAAATAAATACAAATGCAGACAATATTTTAGGACACAAAACGAAACGGGTTTATTTGTTGTACAATTGGTAAAGATACAAACAGTTTTTATCCATTTTATAAAAAGGAAAATGTTATCAAAATATGTCATCAAATAGGTAAAATACAATACAAATGTACAGATATGGTACAATTACGGTACAAATACAGTACATATATTGTACAATTACGGTAAAGATACAATACAAATGCAGTACAGATAAACTACGGTACAAATACAGTACATATATATACGGTAAACAACTACGGTACAGTACAGATATGGTACAATTACGGTAAAAATACAGTACATATATGGTACAATTACGGTAAACAATACAAATGCGGTACAGATACAATTACGGTACAAATACAGTACATATATGGTACAATTACGGGTACATATATGGTACAATTAGGATAAAACTATATATATGGTACAATTACGGTACATATATGGTACAATTACGGTACACAAATACAGTACATATATGATACAATTACAGTACAGATATGGTACATAAAAATATATATGGTACAATTACGGTACAAATGGTACATATATGGTACAATACGGTAAGGTACAAATACAGTACAGATATGGTACAATTACGGTACAAATACAGTACATATATGGTACAATTACGGTAAAGAACAATACAAATGCAGTACAGATATGGTAAATACGGTACAAATACAGTACATATATACAATTGGTAAAATTACAAATGCAGTACAGATATGGTATACGGTACAAATACATATATGGCAATTACGGTAAAGATACAATACAAATGGTACAATTATACACAAATACAGCACATATATGGTACAAATACGGTACAAATACAGTACATATATGGTACTGATACGGTACAAATACAGTACATATATGGTACAATTACGGTACAGATACGATACAAATACAGTACATATATTGTACAAATATGGTACTGATACGGTACAAATACATTACAGATATGGTACAATAACAGTACAAATACAGTATATATATGGTACAAGTACTGTACAGATATGGTACAATTACGGTACAAATACGATACAAATACAGTACAAATATGGGAGTGATACTGTACAAATACAGTACGAATACAGTACAGGTATGGTAAATATACGTTACAAATACAATACAAAGACGATGCAGACACAGTACAAATACGGTACAGTGGAGTACAACATTTTAATATGAACGATATAAGTATTATAATTAGAAGATGACGCCGGATAACAATTATATTTTATGGATTAAAAATTAAACAAATTTTTTGCATGCATATCAAATTTTACTAAGTGAACCAAAAGTAGTATTCTTAGATGAAATCCCGATTTCTAAAGATAAGGTTCCAAACAAACGGATTTTTAGGAAAGGACTTTTACTTTGTAGAACAGACTCCCAGAACGCTACAATCCTAATTTCTTCAAAGGAAATATCAATATTTATCTATCCTTATCCTCATAATTATTTACTGTCACCTCTTCTTTCCTTCATATCACACCTTCTACCTGGAATGTTTCTTGAAACTTATATTGGATAAACGATAGTAAAAAAAAAAAAAAGAATGAAGAAAAACTTAATGATGAAAAATGCATATATTTGTGTTTAAAATATTTTTCATATATTCACCTTTTTTGTCAAGGCACTTAATCCTATGGTTCTCTCTCACGTAGATCGAACATTATACAGTGAATAATTAAGATTAAAATTCGTGTATTAACTCCGTCAGTCTACGAGGTCAAAGACCTAACCTTGTATAATCTTGAATCCACAGTTCTTGCACTTACTTTTTTTTATTAAAAGTTCTCAATACAACGTTGGGCGTAATACATTTTATGTTCTGAAACATAGAAATTCCCGTGTCACAATGTAAAAATATTTTAAATATAAATATCATTAAAATCACTCTCTCTCTCTCTCTCTCTCTATATATATATA